TCCTCTCCCCACCCAGACATCTGGGGTTAGGGGTGATACTGAAAATGCCAAACCCCTAATCACAGGGTTAAGTTTCCAGGCAACCAGCTCCCATTCTTTGTGGGTGCTCAGTTGCATCCAACTCTTTGAGACCCCATGGACTGCAGCCCACCAGGCCTCTGTTCATACAATTTCCCAGGCAAGAAAACAAAGCGGGGCCATTTCCTTCTCCAGGGGATCTTCCCAACCCAGGGAAGATCTGCATTAGCAGGCAGATGCTTTACCACTGAGTTACCTGGGAAGCCCAGATTATTTGGCCTCCAAAATCACCCCATTAACATAGAAAGGACACTCTATGGCTTTCATCACTTAGACAATTCCAAAGGTTTTAGGAATTCTGGCCCTGAAACAGAGACGAAGACCAATTATATATTTCTTGGTATAAATCACAAAAATCACAATATTTAGCCCAGTGTTTCCAAATGGTATGCTTTCAACACATAATCAATATAAAATATTCATTTGATATTTTATACTCATTTTTGTGCTAAGGCCTCAAAACTAAGTGTGTGTTTTATGCTTATAGCACATCTGAATTCAAACTTAAGTGCCTACTTGGACATTGCTGGTCTAGTTTGCTAACATTCATTGAATTTTGTCCTATGTGTTGTATACATTACCTACACTCTTTGAATTAATTCTCAGAGCAACTCTGCTGATACTGTTGGGCTCATTTTACAGGTAAGTAAACGAAGACTTGAAGAGTTTAGATAATTTGCCTGAGAACAGCTCTTGGGCATGGTGGTGCTGGTGGTGGATTAATCACTAAAGTCATGTCAAGCTCCTGTGACCCCATGAACTATAGCCCACCAGGTTCCTCTGTCCATGGGATTTTCCAGGCCAGAATACTAGAGTGGGTTGCCATTTTTCTCCAGGGGATCTTCCTAACCCAGGGATCAAACCCTTGTCACCTACCTTGGCAGGTGGATTCTTTACCTACTGAGCCACCGTGATAGAACTGAGCCTGGGCCATAGGGCTTTGACTTCACAGGAAAGCAATGAATTAAAATTAAAGCCTTTGGAAGAGGTACATGGTAGATTATGAGACACTCATGAGATGATATCAAAGGTTAGACCCAAGGTGGAGACTGGTTAACAGCAGGACACAAAGTGTTTGTAAGAAGGAAATATTCTGAAGCCAAAAGTAGGGGAAAGAGGCAGGACTGCATTTCCCCAGTGAGACACCACCACCCACATCCCTCAGAGTTCATTTCCTCACTCCAGTGTGTTCCTTTGGCAACCATCCGATTGCCACATGCTTAGAAGAGAGTGACTTCTTTTCCTTCCATTTTAACTTCCATTTGGGTAAAAACATGTGCTCTGGTAACTAGTATGAATCAGAGCTAGAGTCTGAACAAGGCCGGTGCCATGGCTTTCTAATAAAAGTCTATAAAATATTATCCTGGTGTCATGGATTATACAAACCTTCACAAATGGAAGTTTCTCCCCTTTTCCTTCACACTGTGTTAGAAAGGAATGAGATATGTGTCCCAAATGCACTTCCCCTGTACTTGGGGACTCAGTGAACTCATTTTAAGTTTCCGATCTTGCTAAGATGTTTTGTTTTTACTGAAATATGTTTCTGATTAATGACAATTTCACAATTTCATGTATGTTTCCGGAACAAATCTACATATGAAACAAGTGTGTGGAAGAGGGTTCAAGCTCTGGTGCCCCATTTCAAGACTGGGGATTCTTGAACGTAACTTCAGCCTTACCATTAGCTCATGAGATGATCTCAAAAGCAGGAACCAGCTTCTGCCCCTGCTAATGAGTCACCCATTCTGTTACTCCTCATTTCTGCATTTGAAAAGTTGGAAATACAGTTGCCTAGTTTCAATAATTTCATCGAGTTCTAGAGAAGCAATTCCCCTCTTAAATGCATGTGATGTCATAAGCTTTGTTTTTTTTTTATTTTATTAAAATTTATGTATGTATTTGGCTGTATCAGGTCTTAGTTGAGCTCGAAGGAGCTTCATTGTATCTAGTAGGATCTTTCCTTGTGGCCCTAGGGCTCTAGAGCACAGGCTGCTCAGTTACTAGTTAACAGAGTGCAGGCTTAGTTGCTCCATGGCATGTGGGATCTTAGTTCCTACCTACCTCCCTGCATTGCAAGGTGGATTCTTAACCACTGGACCACCAGGGAAGCCCCTAATCCCATAAACTTTAGACAAGCTCCACAAACAGCATTATCTTCATGACACTTTCAATGCATGACTCAGTTTTTTTCAGATACATTATCTGAAGATAGAGCTATATGGTCTTGCTTACCCACCGTCATCCTGCACCCTTAATTTTGTAAGGCAGATAGAAAGTATAATCCCCAATTTATGGTTAATATCAGCACTTATAGTAATAATAATTTATACTTAAGAAACACTTACTGGACCCTTTGTGAATTGATTTACACACATCTCAGTTAATTCTGATTGAGTGCGTGGAAGTCGGTTCAGTCGCATGTGACTCTTTTGCAACCCTATGGACTGTAGCCCACCAGACTTCTCTCTCCAAGGAATTCTCCAGGCAAACATATTGGAGTGGGTTGCCATGCCCTCTTCCAGGGTATCTTCCCAACCCAGGGATTGAACCTACGTCTCTTGTGTCTCCTGCTTTGGCAAGCAGGTTCTTTACCACTCGTGCCACCTGGGAAGCCCTTAATTCTGATGACAGGACTATTATTCCATTTCATGACTGAGAACACTAACTTTCCCAGTTACATAGTTAATAAGTGGCTGAGCCAGAACGTGAATCAATGTGAATTTACTTCCACTGATGCTTGTAACCAGGAGGCTGGACACTGCTTCAGAAAAAAACACAATTATGACTCTGTTCCAAATTTATAGAAATAGTTTTTGGTAGTCTCATTAAGAAAGGTCAGAGTTCTCGGCTCTCAAACCACTAAGTTTATGATTTGCATTTCAATAAAGGAAAGAGAATATTAGTAAATATGGCTGATCCTTGCTTTCATCTTTATCCAGTTTGTAAAATTACTCCTGTTATCTTTGTTTAGCTGAAGTGGAAATTACATAATTTAAAAATAGCTATTATTAAGTAACAGCTCAGGAACATTTGGTAGTTTCACAGTGTTAGGCAATCACCAAGTTTATCTAGTTCTAAAATATTTCTATTATCCCAAAGAAAAGCCCCCTACCCATTAAGCACTTTCTCCACATTACTCCATCCCCTCAGGCCCTGGCAAACACCAGTCTGCATTCTGTCTCAGTGGATTTACCTTTTGGGGATATTTCTCATAAATGGAATCATACAACATGAGACCTTTATGTCTGACTTCTTCATTTATCACAAGGTTCATATTTTCAAGGTTCATCCACACTGTATCATGTATCAACCCCTTATTCCTCTTTATGGCTGAATAGTATTCCATTATATGACTATATCACAATTCAGTTCAGCTCAGTTGCTCAGTCATGTCCAACTCTTTGCAACCTCATTGACTGTAGAACACCAGGCCTCCCTGTCCACCACCAACTCCCAGAATTTACTCAAATTCATGCCCATTGAGTCGGTGATGCCATCCAACCATCTCATCCTCTGTCGTCCCCTTCTCCTGCCTTCAATCTTTCCCAGCATCAGGGTCTTTTCAAATGAGTCAGCTCTTCACATTAGGTGGCCAAGGTATTGGAGTTTCAGCTTCAACATCAGTCCTTCCAATGAATATTCAGGACTGATTTCCTTTAGGATGGACTGGTTGGATCTCCTTGCAGATAATATTGCATTTATTTATCCATTAATCCATTGATAGGCATTGAGTTGTTTCTGCCTTTTGGCTATTGTGGAGGGTAGTGCTGTTATAAACATGTGTGTACATGTACTTATTTGAATACCTGTTTTCAATTCTTTGGGGTTTATACCTGGAGTATTGTGGGGTCATGTGCCATTTCTATATTGAACTTTTTGAGGAATTGTCAAACTGTTTCCCACAACAGCTGAACCATTTTACATTCCAACCAGCAATGTAAAAGTGTTCCAATTTCCCCACATCCTAACACTTGCTATTTTGTTGTTTATTATTATAAATGTCAAATGTGTGTCAAATGGTACCTCATGGAGGTTTTGATTTACATTTTTCTGATGACTAATGATACTGAGCATCTTTTCCTGTGCTTGTTGGCTGTTTGTAGGTCTTCTTTGGAGAAATGTCTGTTTGAATCCTTCGGTCATTTCTTCGTTGGTTTGTTTGTCTATTTGTTGTTGAGTTGTAAGAGTTATTTTTATATGCTGGATCCTGTGCTATGCTGTGCTTAGTCACTCAGTCACGTCCAACTCTGCGGCCCCATGGACTGTAGCCTGATGGGCTTCTCTGGCCATAAGGATCCTCCAGCCAAAAATACAGGACTGGGTTGCATGCCCTCCTCCAGGGGATCTTCCTAACCCAGGGACTGAACTCAGATCTCCTTCATTACAGGCAGATTCTTTACCATCTGAGCCAGCAGGGAAGCCCAAGAATACTGGAGTGGGTAGCCTATCCCTTCTCCAGGGGATCTTCCCAACCCAGTAATTGAACTGGGGTCTCCTGCATTGCAGGCAGATTCTTTACCAGCTGACCTATCAGGAAAGCCCATCCTATAGCCTAGGTTTTATTATATATTATATATGATTTGAAAATATGTTCTCCATTCTCTGGGTTGTACAGACTTTCTTGATAACATCTTTTGATGCACATAATTTGAGATTTTGATGAATTTTATCCAGTTTATTTTATCAATTTATCTATTTTTTATTTCTCTTATTTTTTTACTTGAACTTTGAGAGTCATATGTAAGAACCCACTGTCAAATCCAAAGCCATGAAGATTTTACTCCTTTGTTTTCTTCTAAGAATTTTATGATTTTAGTGCTTATATTTAGGTCATTCATTCATTTTGAGTTAACCTTTGTATATGATGTGAAGTAGAGAGTCCTGTTTAACTCCTGTTTACTTCCTTTTTTTTTCCTTCCTAGGAACCCTTGAAAACAAGGAACTACATATTTTTAACCTGACTTCTCTAACTAAGTCAGAAAACATTTTATCTGCCACACTGTATTTCTATATCAGAGAGCTGATAAATATCAGCCTGAGTTGTCCTGTGTCCCAAGAATGCTCACATCATGCCCAGAGGAAACACATTCATATTGACCTCTCTGCATGGATCCTCAAATCCAGTGGAAACCAAAGTCAACTCCTGGGTCATCTTTCGGTAGATGGAGGGAAACCTCATCAAGACTTTGTGTCCTGGCTGTCGAAAGACATCACCCAACTTTTGAGGAAAGCCAAGGAAAACGACGAGTTTCTCATAGGATTTAACATTACTACCAAAGGACACCAGCTGCCAAAGAAGATGACACCCAGTCCTGAGCCTTATATCTTGGTGTATGCCAATGATGCTGCCATTTCTGAGCCGGAGAGTGTGGTGTCAAGCTTACAAGGACACCGGAATTTCCCCACTGGAGCTGTGCCCAAACTGGAAGGCCACAGCAGGGCTGCCCTTTCTATTGAACGGAGGAGGAGGAAGCGCTCTGCGGGGGTCCTTCTGCCTCTGCAGAACAATGAGCTTCCTGGGGCAGAATATCAGTACAAGGAGGATGGGGTATGGGAGGAGAGGAAGCCTTACAAGACTCTTCAGACTCAGCCCCCTGACAAGAGTAAGAACAAAAGGAAACAGAGAAAGGGATCTCAACAGAAGAGCCAGACGCTCCAGTTTGATGAACAGACCCTGAAGAAGGCAAGAAGAAAGCAATGGATTGAACCCCGGAATTGTGCCAGACGGTACCTTAAAGTGGACTTCGCAGATATTGGCTGGAGCGAATGGATTATCTCCCCCAAATCCTTCGATGCCTATTACTGCTCCGGAGCGTGCCAGTTCCCCATGCCAAAGGTAGCCATTGTTTTTTTGTTCTGTCCTTCCCATTTCCATAGTGTGGAAAGACCCAAATTGAATGTATGTTTTACAAAATCCATCTGGACCTTTATTTATTGCATTCTAAAGTGTAATAGGTAACATGGTTATGTTTGGTTGTTCTTTACTGGTTGTTAAAGTAATATGAAGTCAAAATTGGTATGAAGAAGGATATGAGAAAACAATGTATGCGTAAAACATGTTTTTTGCACTGCTTCCAAACACAGTGCATATTCAGCTACATGATCATATGTGAATTTATGCCTGTCCACAACAAGGAAGCCCCCAGTGGTAGGAGGCTGACCTTTGAGGGGGTATTTAGGAGATGAGTGAATGTCGTGAGAGCAAAAGGAAGGACTAATTGGATTGATGCCCTGATACAAAACATTTTGATAGTCTCTTGTGAGATGAATTGTCATCATGGGGGTTAGGATCAGGGTTGGGCTAGGAAAACTTGCCTCATGAAATCCACCAGATGCTTATTTCATTTGCTTCCCTGATAAATATCAAAGTTGGAGTCAGAATAAGGCACAATGGCTCTGTCGACTTCTAAGACTCATTTTAACTGCTTAGAGCTAATCCACGTCTCTTCTAAAATTGATAGGGACTGAATCTTTAGCTTATCAGTACTCAGTATCCTGACAAATATATTCTCAGAAGCCTCCCCAACCCCACCTCCATCTTGCACAGCAAGTCCAAGTGACTGTACTCTTTGAATTTAGAATTAATAAAACATATTGGTGCCCCCTTGGCCTTCAGCTAAGCTTATTGCTGCACTTCCCTTCTTAGCCCATAACAATTTGAGTCTATCATACAGTGAAAGGTGATCCTGGCAATAGAATTCAGAGGATAAATAGGAGTGTTTTTGTTTTGTTTTGTTTCTGTTTTTTGCAAAACTTGACATGGATCAACTTCTACTATTGTATGTTAATGGAGAAAAACCCTTTGCCTCGAAAAGTGACCAACTTCTGTTTATAGGTCTTTAAAGGGGCATGTTCATGTTACAGGCCTGTGATCATTGGAATGCTAAAGGTAACACACACATAAAGCAACACCAGATCAGCCTCAGGGCCAAGAACTTGACTGAAATCCCATTTTCCTGTTAGGATGTCTCAGAAGGATAAGCTTGCTACATTTTCTAGACCTTGTGGATTCCAGGTTTTGTCAACCCAAATACAAAGTAGGGATTGTAGACATTTATAATGATATAAACAGCCTTATCTTGTCTAAAGATTATAAAGGACATTTTATTGATCAATAGAAACTTGGTCAAACTGGGATAGCATTTAAAACACACAACAAAGATGCCAAGTATAACAGGCAGTAATGAGTCTTTATTCTGCAGTGTGGCTTGCTTTGTAGCACTGAGAGGCAGAAATGATTAAAAATATCTCTAAACCTGGGATGACTTATTTTAAGTGGGTCTCTGAGTCTTCCGAATAAGTCCTCTCTCTCTCCTAAACAGTGATTTTTTTTTCTAGGTTGCCTGAGGAAGTTTTCCTCTTTCCTCTTGACTCCAGGTTTTAGGACCCAGAAAGCCATGATCACGTGGAGATATTCAGTCAGTTAGCTGACCTGGGTTGGTCTCCATAATTGCCCCAATTTGCCTCTCCCATCTGTTATGGTTCTGCTTGTTTTTCCTGTTCAAAAACCTTGCTGTTGCTCCCATAGATCTTCATCGTAGTCCTCAGTGACCTAAGGAATAACAATTAAAAAACATATGAGGGATAAGTTAAGAATGATGCTGCTGCTGCTGCTAAGTCGCTTCAGTCATGTCTGACTCTGTGCAACCCTATGGACAGCAGCCCACCAGGCTCCTCTGTCCATGGGATTTTCTAGGCAAGAATACTGGAGTGGGTTGCCATTTTCTTCTCCAAAGTTAAGAATAGAAGAGATAAATTTAAGGAAAGAAGTATGTTAGTGTAACAGGATGACTAAAGGGTACCTGCTTGATCATAGCTGGGTTTCTGAACCTTAAGGTGCCTGCAAATTGCCTGGGAATCTTGTTCATCTGTAGGTTCTAATCCAGTGGTTTCCAGGGCAGAGCCCAAGATTCGGAGTATTTAACAAGCCTCTAGATGTTACTGATACTGTTGGTTTCCAAAGCATCCTTTAAGTCGACGAATCCTTTTGGCTTAAAACTTGGCTCCACTTCTTACCCGCTGTGCCTTTGAGGTGGGGAAGTTCCTCTAACTTTCTATATGTTAGTTTTCTCATCTTTGAAACAGGTACTAGGGTAAATAAAAATATCACAATATCTGCATTATAAAAATGATGGGAAAATGAGATTGTAGAGTACCTTGTGCTGACTAGGCACTTAATGAATTTTTGCCATTATTAATGGCCGTTATGAATTTTTGCCATTATTAATGTCCATGGCTGAGACTGAGGAGAATAAAAAATCCAATGTAGGGAGCTGGAAAAAAACACAGGAGTAGGAATCAAAAGAATAAAAATTGTGGGACTTCCCTGGTGATCCAGTGGTTAAGACTCTGTATTTCCAATGCATAGGTTCAGTTCCTCCTCAGGGAACTAAGATCCCACATGCCGTGCAGCATGATCAAATAAATAAAATGAAATAAAATTTTAAAAAAGAATAAAAGGTGTAAAACAAGGATAAGTTTTGTAAATGTTTCTTATCCCTTTTTAAATGTCACAAGGCTTTAAATAGGATTCTCCCTTCAGCCCGATAGTTCATAAGCTCTTTGGTGGGTAATAGAATCAAGAGAGCATCCATTACAGCACTGAACACATGATATTGTGCTTAATCGCTCGGTCATGTCTGACTCTTCATGTGACCCCGTGGACTGTAGCCCACCAGGCTGCTCTGTCCATGTGATTCTCCAGGCAAGAATACTGGAGTTGCCATGCCCTCCTCCAGGGGATCTTCCCAACCCAGGGATCGAACCCAGGTCTCCCACATTGCAGGCGGATTCTTTACCATCTGAGCCACCAGGGAAGCCCATGATAGTATTTGTCAAACCTTGGAACAGCATCCAAACTACAGGGAGATGTCATGTAATAGGGATAGAGTGGAGTCTTCTCTGCGAGTTGGAGATTTCCTTTTGCCAAGCTTCGAATGGAAGTCTGGCTGTGACATGGACATCGCAGTCTTTCATCGCCTTGTGTGGACCTGCTTAACTTTTGCAGCTTTCTACTGATTCCCTGTAAGCCTTCCAGGCTTTCTGTCTTTCAAGGGGTACAGTCACCAAAATGATGGGAAGCTTGAAGCGGTATGAAGCTGTGACATCAGGGGTAATTAATCACTGTTGCTGTTATCAGCCCAGTGTCCAGCATGGTAACCAGAGTCAACTATTTAAACAAAAATATAGTTTTTGAACCACAGAGGAAAATAAGGCCTCTGACAAGATCAGTACAAATGCATGTGGAGTAAGTGAGGTGCCAAAGACCTTTCAAATTGTAGATACACATTCTGCCCCAGAGAAAAGTTCTCCCAGGCCAGACTCCTCGGCTGGCCCTCCTTCCTTCTGGCCTCCCCAGTGAGAGCCTGCTCTCTAGAGCCGGGCTCTTCATCTGCAAAAGTTGACAACCTGTCTGTAATTCAGAACAGCTGTGTTCTGCCTTTCCCAAATTCCAGGCTTTGCCCTTTCCCTGATTCCAATTAGATAGTTTCTGGGCTATCACACCCATGTGGGTTGGACTGGGAGAGCATGGAGCAAAGCCCCATGGCCTGAGTCAGGAATGAAAGCTCAGAGCTGATGACATTCTCTCCCCTGCTAATGCACTTGTAATCGAATTCAACTCGAGGACATCACCCGCAGCTTGGCAGGTGAGGGCCTGAGCACGGCAGATTTCATTCACAGACACAGCAGCTTGGATTTTTCTGATTTCTAGCCCTTACAGCCAATCTGTTTCTCCAGGGAGAGACCCCTGGCACTCTGCCATGAGATGAAAAATACCCATATAGCTGTAGCCAAGTCTTAGGCCTTGGCCTCCCCTCACCACCAAAGGAGAGATGGAAAACAGAAATTTCAAATGAAAATGATTGAGCCATTGTTGCTGAAAAGAGGTCCAAGGGAACCAATCAAGGATTGGAGGAGTGAAGGTATTTTTGCATGGAGTGGTGCAAAGTTTGGGAATAGCGAAGACAAAGAATTATGGAGCAAAGAAGGTAAACACTTTGAACCAAGCAGACTCTCTAAACAAGAAATTCACATGGAATAAGTTCAAAATAATGCAGCCTCAATTAATGTCCTTTGGTTTCCAATTCTAATTTCTGATCATGAAGATGAACTCTAAAAATCTTAAATCTTGATGTATTGAGTTACCTAAGCAAAAAGAAAAAAAAAAGACCTAAATAGATACCAATGTCCTGTTTCACCCACATTAAAAAGTGAGACTAGGGAGGAAGAGGGCTAAAGAATCTGCCTGCTAATGCAAGAGACAGAGGAGTCGTAGGTTCAATCCCTCGGGTCAGGAGGATCCCCTGGAGGAGGAAAGGGCAACCCACTCCTATTTTTGCCTGGAAAATCACATGGACAGAGGAGCACGCTGGACTACAGTCCATGGGGTTGCAAAGAGTCAGACACGACTGACCAACTGAGCATGAACCGGGAAAAAAACAAAACAAAACACACACAGGTTTGCATTTGTCATCACTAGGTTTCTTAAGCTGCTGTGAAGAGAGAGCCGAGAAACGTAATCAAACGCAAAAACAAATGGCAAATGTTCCACACTAGCAAATGATCACATGGATCTTTTGTGTGTGGCTTAATTATTCCTGGTCATGGCAGCTGGATTTCACAGTGAGAAAGAAAGGGGACAACTCCCTAGAAAACTGAGAGGTTCCTGATAGAACACACCGCCGACAATCAAGGGCTTGCTGGATTCCTGTGAGCCCACCAGAAACCGCTCATTTGTGAGTTAGAGCTTTTAAAAAGGACAGGAATTTTCCTAGGGAACACCCATGAATATTTTCCATATCTGTGCTGGGTCATTAGCTCAGAACCTTTTATTTTTGTTGATGGGAATTATTTCCACAGAAATAGGTGCAATGGAGGATATGTTATTATTTATAAGTATTTCATCCATTTGGCAAGTATTTATTCAGTGCCTGGAGAGCCTGCTCTGCTCCAAGCACCGAGGACAAGCACTGCACAGCAGGATTTATGGATCAAGTCCTGGTCTACTTAAATATATGAAAATTAAATTGTATAGGAGTCAGTAAAACATTAACAGTAACAAAATATTGTCAGAAAATCTATGGCTTTAAAAAAATCCTTTGGGGTGTTATCATATGCTGTTTGGATGATTGAATTTAAAAATAAATCAATGGAGAAAAGTGAGTGGCTGCAAAAGTTTTCTTAAGAAATCACCTGATACTGATGAAATAGCAAACAGTGGCCATTGGTACAGTGGCCATAGTACAATTGCAGTTTGTCAATTACATGCATAGTGTTGATGCCACAGGACACAGGAGGTTTGGAATAGAACAATAGGGACTTCTTATCCTTCAGGGGAGAAATACCTTTCTTTGCAAAGTTAATTAATTGTAGGTTAACTACTCTTTTTAACATGCACTTAAAGTCTCCAGGAAAAAAAAAGAGTAGATAAAGGAGCTGGCCATCATCAATACTAACTTTAAGGTAATTTGTGCCTGTGAGCAATCATGTTGAAGTTTAATGCCTAGATAATTTTTTTCACTAAAATTGAAAGATGAGATGAGGCAAATTGGATTTGCCCTTTTCCTGCCCGCCCCCCCCACCACCAAAATCCTATTATTTTTTTTAACAATGTGCCAACTTTCTACTTAGTTGCTTCTCCTTTGGCTTATGTGTACTCTTAACTTTTCAATATGTTTCAGTTTCCCATACTGGGAGTTTTAGGTGTATAAAGTTAGAATACCAGTTCACTGGGGGCTGAGGTGCCTCTGAAACGTGACTCAAAATCTTGACATTAAAAAGCCAGTTTTTTGGCTTAAATCCCACTCCTGAATTGACATGTGATCTCTGGCAAGTTACCAAAGACCTGTTTCTAAATTCTTTCTAATGGATTTCATCTGCTTAAAAGAGACATCGGGAGAACTGATGTTGAAAAGTGTGGCATTGATCAGGAAGAAGGTCTTACCACTCTGGCAATACCTAAACATCCTGGGCTTGGAAAAGTGACCGTTCAATGCTGAGCCAGGCTGGACAGGGCTCTCTAAATAAAACCAAATGTCTCCCATGTATGGTGATGGTCCCATTTGGCATTGCTTGGGAACAGATTTTGCTCAGGCTTCTTTGGTCAAACTTCTGACAGCCATAGATAACCTCAGGTCCCCTGGATTATTCCTAGAGGATATGCCCCAGGTTTAGAAGACTAAAATGCTACAGCATTAATGTCTGTACCCATGGAGCGACAGTGACCCCCAGTGGCCAACAGTGTGGTCCTCTTAATCAGCATCCATTCTTCCAGGTGGTAACTATTAAATAAATCAACGCCTCTTGACACTGGGGACTTCCCAAGTGGTGCTAGTGGTAAAGAACCTGCATGCCAGTGCAGGAGACATAAAAAGGGATGGGTTTGATACCTGGGTGAAGAAGATCTTGCATGAAAAATCCCTTGGACAGAAGAGCATGGTGAGCTATAGTCCATAGGGTCACAAAGAGCTGAACAAGACTGAAGTAACTTAGCATGCACTTGACATGTTTGTGTTATTTTCAAAACAAAGTATAAATGTCACTATAGAAGTGGCAAAAATCTATGTTAAGTTGGTGCTTGTTAAGCATTCTTTGTGACTAGCTCAGGATCAAATTGTTTCTCTTGCAATCCTGTTATCAAAAACACCCTTCATTCAGTCACTCAGTCGTGTCCAACTCTTTGCGACCCCATGGACTACAGCACACCAGGCCTCCCTGTCCATCACCAATTCCTGGAGCCTGTTCAATCTAATGTCCATTGAGTCTGTGATGCCATCCAGCCATCTCATCCTCTGTCATGCCCTTCTCCTCCCGTTTTCAATCTTTCCCAGCATCAGAGTCTTTTCCAGTGAGTCAGTTCTTCTTATCAGGTAGCCTAAGTATTGAAGCTTCAGCATCAGTCCTTCCGATGAATATTCAGGACTGATTTTCTTTAGGATTGACTGGTCTGAAAACACCCTAGGATGTACTAATCCTGTTTGAGGACTAAATCATTTTTAATTAAATGATTCCTGCTTAGAAAACCAGATTCGAGTTCTCACTCTCCATGTCTGTATGACTTTATATGTGTCATTTAAGCTTTTTGAGTCTATTTCTATATCTATAAAATGTAAGAAATGGTGGTTATGTGGTAAGGATTAGAAATACTACACAGAACATGCCTGGCACCTGAAAAAAAGTCGAAGTGTTAGTCGCTCAGTCATGTCTGACTCTTTGCAACCCCATGAACTGTAGCCTGCCAGGCTCCTCTGTCCATGGAATTCTCCAGGCAAGAATACTGGAGTGGTTTGCCATTCCCTTCTCCAGAGGATTTTCCTGACCTAGAGATGGAGCCCAGGTCTCCTGCATCACAGGTGAATTCTTTACCAATCAGTGTGAGTAGACACTTAGTCAGTGACAACCATTTTGGTGATGGTGATATTGGAGATTGGGCTGAATGTGTGATGATGCCAGGGCTTTATTAATTTGTTGAACCAAATCCATCATATATATATTTTTAGTGGGGGCTGGAGAGGGGAAAAGCCATTCTACCTAACCTGTTTTCTCCCTTTTCTTTCCTAGTCTTTGAAGCCATCAAATCATGCTACCATCCAGAGCATAGTGAGAGCTGTGGGGGTCGTTCCTGGAATTCCTGAGCCTTGCTGTGTGCCAGAAAAGATGTCCTCACTCAGTATCTTATTCTTTGATGAAAATAAGAATGTGGTACTTAAAGTATATCCAAACATGACAGTAGAGTCTTGTGCTTGCAGATAACCTGGTGAAGAACTCATCTGGATGCTTAACTCAGTCCTTAGTTTATTTTTATGGACTTTTTTTGCACTGCCAATGCATTTCATTTCAAAAGATTTTTCAGTAGTCAAAGGCGAATGAGCAAATAGACTGATGATTTCCACCAAGGAGAACTGGACTGGATTTGTTTCTGAATGTAACTCAAAGCAAGATTTTATTAAATATGGACATCTTTTTCTTTAAAAAAAATAATTACACGAGAAAAACAATCACTCAAACTGTTTTTAGAACTGTTAGAGAACACACTGATTTATTTTTGTAATGGGCTTTGAAAATAGATTGGAAACAAACAATAGCTTATCATTGATCTCTGCTCACAGAAATAGAATAATTTCATATTTTAAAGCAGGCTTCTTAGATTCCTGAGCAACTTCGCAAGTGCTAAATAGTTCAATCAGCTTTGATGTTTATCTTAAATTTGTGGAGACTATTGTTTACCTGTGTTTTTCTTTACAGATCCTTGTGTGACTAGCTGAGTGGAGGATGTGTGCTGACTGTCAGTGTGTATGGATGTGAACACATTCCCAGGGACGTGTGCCCTCTTTTGGAAGATTGGTTTAACATGCTTTTTTAATTCAGTCTGCATGGGATTCTTGGTTTTTTCATTTTATGTTCTGACAAGCGTCATTCAATTATGAGAAGTTTAGCAAAATGGATAGAGTGATCCAAGAGGGTATGCAAGAGTTACCACTTTCCTCAGCCATTTATTTGGAAATATTGATGCTTTCATTTCATGGCCCTCACAAGAAAGGCAACCAGCAACCCAATTTTCAAAAACCCAGATCTAATTATTCTTCTGTATCTCTCTTACGCAAGTGCTTTCACTTGTTCTTTTAAACTGAACTTAAACATGCAATTAAGTGTTTAATTCTCTTGATATACCTTTGCCTCTTATAAAGTAATCAACAGATACCAAGGCTCTCTGGATGGACTATTGGAGATTTAAGTGACCAATCTAATCACAATCACAGGTCCACATTCTTGTTCACCTATGTCCACGTCCAGACACTTTTTCATGTTGGTCTCGGCTTTTGGTTCAGACAGGGAATCTATTCTTTAGTAAAGCTTACTATAAATTATCTAGGAAGAAAGGGAGTTGAATCTATACACTTATTGGTTTTTTCCCCTATTTCCATTTGTCATAAATATCTCCTCTCACACTTTTGCCCTTGAGAAATTGTTTCAAAAATCTTTTCCTTGCTCTGTTTATGTGTGTGACAGAAATGTTTTCAGACCATGGATTGTTGTTGACGTTCTCTCTGTGGTGAATTATTATTTAAGTTCAGTATGACCTGATTAGAGTCAACTAAGCCATTTCAGAGGCTGTGAAGTTATCAGAAGACACAGAAGACATGGAGTTTTGTTCTGTCTCTGCCTATAGTTAGTTATCTGTGGTAGTTTGTAACTTCATGTTAACTGAGCATCTACTTTGTGAAAGACATGTAAGTGTCTTCAGTGGTAAAAATAAACAGGCAGACTAGTTAAGCTGGAAGGTCCTTCTGCCACTGAAAGTTTGGGTTTATAGTAGTTGTTATGTCACACATATCATCCTTGAATGGATGGTAATGACAGAGCTAAAAACCTGCAAGTATGTCTGTTCATAAACCAAAGGCAGAAACATCCTGTTCTTTCGTGTATGCCAATATGACATTCCCTGTCATGGAAGTAGTATTTCTGTCTTATTGGAAACCCACTAAAAAGAGTACCATGAAAAGATGCTCTTTGACACTTTTGGAATGTGTGTTGACTCCATGAATGAGAAACACCTGTTCTAAATGATGAATGAAGTCCTGGTACCTGAGTTGCTATGGTTTCTTCTAGTTCATTTTTTGTTCTGGTAGCATACAGATTCAAAATGAGATAAGGGATGAAATTATTTTCTACTAAGTTTTATCAAAAATTTGAAACATAGTTATATAATAGAAGTGACCCCATGTGTGGCTGCTCTATCCGGGTCATGATCTTTCCATAAATATAACTTTTATTTCATTGGTAGATTGGGTGAAATTCTTAATTTAGTTTTTTTCTAGAGACATATCTACCAAAATCTCTTAACAATTTTCAGTTTTCTTTCTCAGTCTTCTTCTCTCCAGATGTTTGTCAGTTACCTTCAATTTAAATTTGAATTGAGGCTAACTTGTTATAAATTAAACTCTATAATGGCCAAAAAAAAAATCTCTAAATAATAACTATTTCCAATTTTGAAGCAACTGATATGACAAAATTAGAACATAATGAAAGTCATTGGATTGACTCTTAGCAATCAAAATAGCTTTTGACTAGTAGTTATTTTTCTGCAAGCCTGTAACCATTATTAATTATCTCCTGCATTGAAGCCATATTATGATATAAATGGGGAAAAGTTTAGTTCCCTCAAATAAAGGAAAATTACTTTTTAAGGGGTTGAAACAGAGTTTGAAGTAAATGAGTTAATATTTTAAGTAATAAAAATTTATATGAAATAGTTGGAAAATTGAGTGACTATGTCACAATTGGTTAGGTACTAAAGTCTGTATAATTACTATATAAACCTTTTATAAATCTCCTGATTTAAAATGACATTAATGAGAAGAGAAATTGCATTTATATTAATAATGCCATTTTCTAAACCATGCATCTTTCTTTTCTTCTTTCTCTTGCACCCACCCTACCACCCCCATTCCTACATATTGAGACACACACACAGTTAGTTGAAAATAAAAATTTTTTTTCAATAACTGTTCTGTTGAATTCATATTCAGGGGCTGATGATATAGTATTATCAAAGTATTTTGTTGTAACCTGTGTAAATAATATACCATTTACAGGATTTGGAGTTGTAGAATTTAAACTGGAAGATTGGACTCTCTAGATCTCAGGACTATAATATTGCCGATCAATTCTGACACTCACCTAACTATATATTAACTGATGATCATTTATTCATTAAGCTAGGATTTTTTTTACCTTAACATTTCAGAAGGAAAAAACCTTTTTTCCCGTTTATTATTTTCATAGGCAAAATAATCATATGTGTATAATGCTATTATAAATCTGGCTTACAAAGATTTTTTTATATATAATTACATTATTCACTTTAGTCTTACTTTTCTCTGTGCTAACAAGTAAGTAATGTCTGGATATCGACTTGGTTGAATCAAGTTTGGGTCAAAAAATAGTTCTGCACACCTTATGTGTAAGATTAAATATGAGATTAAATAAGATATCTTGGATAAGTCTGACTTCTCTGTATATCTTTTTTCCCTTGGGAATTGTATTTTAATGTAGTTATAGTGCTTAAATGATCCCCTTTTCCCAAAAACTAAGCCTTCCCTTCAGCTTTCCACAATAGTTTCTGTAAATGTTCTAGTTGAGAACTGAATGCTTGTACAGTTGTTGGCAATTTTAAAAATATATATTATATATGTATATGGAAAACTTTAAAGATGCTTTTAATTTATTTAATGACTGTTGCCTTCCTATCTATAATGGTAATAATTTTCATATTTAGATGGTAAGGAAAAGTTCTTTTTACAACAGTTACTATGGGCAGAATGACAACAGGTTCTCTAGTACAGTTACTGAAGGAGCGTACTGCAGTGAAACTGTGAAAGACGCTTCACTACTGATGTGTAAGCTTTGCGGGCTTTGTATCACTTTCCTCCAGTAATGGAGAGCTTTTCTCTATACAGTATGGAAATAAACTTGCTTAATTGAACACTTCCCCGTTCTCTTCTACTTATCATTGAGAAAGATGGCATTTTCACAACTTGAGAAAGTTGAAAAACTGCTGCATCTGAAAAGAGATAACAAAACTTAGGCACAGAGTCAAACATTTTCAAACAGTATTGTGAATGGAGCATCATAACCTATTAACAACATAACGTGAAACATAATTAACACTGTGAAGCTATATATATATATATATAATACCTGTATATTATATAATTATATACATATATATTCACCCATAAGGGGAATATTAGGAATTCAGCTTGAATCGTTTCATATTTTTTTTCTCTCTTTCTCCCTCCCTTTCAGGCATTTCTTGTTTAACCACACACTCCACTTAGAGATACTTTGTGTGAATGCCCATATCACTGTTTTGACAGTAAATTTATCTGTCATTGTTAACATGTCCATGTACACATTTTAGGATGATAGGCAACTATTTAACTCATCTGATCATTGAGATGTATTTCTCCATTTTTGTTTAGGCTATACCTTTCTCTCTAAAAGAAAAATGACCTCAGGTTAAGAAGTAAAATATGCTTTCATATTATTCTCCCTCATTTAATCGATCTCTTCAGACTGTGTCTATTTAAAAACCATAGCATTTTTGAACTACCAGGCCTTTTAAAGATCATGTTGAACAAATTCTTTAACCTCTCTGTGCTTCACTTATCTCATCTATAAAAATGGGGCAATAAAGTCCTTGCCTCATAGGATTGTACAAGGTTTAATGAGATATACACATAAATTTTGGGCTTCCCTGATATCTCAATTGGTAAGAATCTGCCTGCAATGCAGGAGATCCTGGTTTGATTCCTGGGTCGGGAAGATCCCCTGGAGAAGGGATTGGCTACCCACTCCAGTATTCTTGGGCTTCCCTTGTGGCTCAGGTGGTAAAGAATCTGCTTGCAATGTAGGAGACCTGGGTTCGATCCCTGGGTTGGGAAGATCCCCTGGACAAGTGAAAGGCTACCCACTCCAGTAGTCTGGCCTGGAGAATTCCATGGACTGTATAGACTATGGGGTTGCAAAGAGTTGGACTTGACAGAGCAGCTTTCACATTTCACTTTCACACATAAATTACATTGCCAAGCACCTGAAACAGGATGAAGACTCAGTTATTATCAGCTGTTATTATTACCTAAGCCAGTCTCCCCATTTTCCAAATGAGGAACTATAGACAAGCTGTGGTTTGCATCTGTTTGGATGTCTACTCGCCATGCCCTCCTCTGAAAACTGGCTTCCACCAACAG